TAGCCCAGTGAATCCTGTTTAATACAGATTTATTGTTGTTTCCAAATATTTTCAGCCTATGATTGGTGATATTCAGGGATGCAGAATTTGCAAATAAGAAGGGCCAACTGTAATAAGAAGGAAATAACAGATTAAAACAAAAATAAAACAATGATGGGTTAGACAACAGAAACAAAATAACCAGTGAAACCAAAAGCTTGTTCTTAAGTGATACTGACAAACTGACAAATTTCTGGCTCTGATGAGCAAAAGCAGAGAGCCACACAGATCACCAAAGACAGAAATGAAAGACAATTTGAACCCAAGATCATGGCTCTGCTCTACATTTTTCTGTTCATTATACTCTTTCATAATATGTTTCTACATCTCCACCACTCCTGTTAAGTAAAATATGAATTTTTTGTCAGGAAGCAGACAGTCCAAGTCGTATTATATGAGTTTCTTGATGACATTAAGGAATCGTGAAACTTATGGCTGCAAGATTTTGGTAAGCCTGAAGACGTTAGAAATTTGGGGAATCATTTTCAATATCATCTGGGTGGAGATAGAGATGATAGGTAGAGATAGAAACAGAGATAGAGATCATAGAGATAGATGATAGATCGATAGATAGACAGATAGATAGATAAATAATAGACAGATACAGATGCCAGTAGATATATTTATAATCATAGATATGATTATGAATATAGATGAGAAAACTTCAGGGAAACAACTTAGGGGAGAAAAGTTAGAGAAAACAAATGCATAGTGACCTACATCCATACCAACACAAAGCCATCTTTAGCAAGACAATTTGTAAGTCTTAGTAGCTAACAGAATTTACTTAGCTGTGTCAATAGCTCTTCCAACCATTACAGCACTGTAATCTGGAATTCTCAGAGAAATTATGAAATCAATTACTTGTATAATAACCACGACTGTGTTTCATAAACCTCGTGTTTTATGAGAGAGCTCATAAAAGGAGATAGATGCAGAGTAAACATTAGAAATTTATATTAGGGTTCTCCCTAGAAATAGAACAGACACAAAACACACATATGTCTACATGTATCTGTACACATATATATGTGTATATGCAACACACATTTGTAATATGTATTTGCAATGTATACTATACATTTACAATATATGGGAAGACCCAGATCCAGACATACGCAGACAGACAGGCAAAGCAACACAGAGAAATGTGGACACAGAGGGAGACATATTCCAAGGTGTTATCCCATGTTATTACAGGGCTGAAGATCTCAAAATCTGCTGTCTGGAAACTGGGAACCTGAGAAAGCCAGTACTGTAGTTCAAAAGCTTAAGCGCCAGAGAACCGCTAGGATACTTACCAGTCTCGGTGGAAAGATCTGAGAACCAGGAGTGTGAAAGACAGAAGGCTGACACCCTACCTCAGGCAGAGCGCGAACTCGTCCTTCCTCCTTTTATTCAGGGGCTCAGGCGATTGGAGAATGCCCACCTGCGCCGGGGAAGGCATCTACTCTGCTCAGCTCACTACTTAGATTGCTCATCTTGTCCAGAAACGCCTTCCCAGGCTCCTCCTAAGATAACGCTTTACCAGATACCTAGTCATCTTTGACCTAGTCAAACTGCTACATTGAGCATCTGGGTAAAAAACGTAAACAGATAAAAGTGTGTAATACAGCAGAGGAAATTCTTGCTGAAATCCATATGAAAATAGTGACTGGGGCCTTTGCCTTCAGAGTCCAGAACAGGGAATGGGAAGGAGAATCAGGAAGTCTAAGCATCTGCCTTGCTCTCTGGAAAGATCTCAGAAGACATCTATTATCAGGAGCAAAATCTGGAAACAATTCCCATGCCAGGGAGTGAGAAAAAAGTGGAATGAATGATTTCATAAAACTCATTTTTCATGATGCCAAAAGAAGACAGAAAGTCATCACTGAGAAGCCAGGAGTGAACATGAGACGAGAGAAAAATCAATGCAAGCATGGCGCTGCATCTACAGTCACTGGGAAAGAATCTGCCTACTGCTGCACCCTCACTGTATTATTATGTCTTTCCTTTTAGACTGAGTGAAGATTTTTAAAGTAGTAGTCAAGATACCTTGGGCAGGGGCCAGGGATTTAGCTCAGCGGCACAGCGCCTGCCTGGCAAGTGCAATGTCGTGAGTTCAATTCCCGGTACCCGGTGTGGTGGGGAAGATACCTTGGGCATAAGGAATTATGTAATGATGTTCCAAATCAACAGAAAATAAAAATATATTCTTTGATTTTTGCTGCCTTCTCTTCAGTCTATAAAGATGGCCTCCTTCTTGCCTCTAGATAGCATTTACCAGGTGGGTTTTATGTAAAGGACATGAATAATAGTGGGGTTTTTTTTTTAAAGTATATTTTTTGTGACCTACGGTTCTTGTTCATGATTTTTTTAGTCATACATATTAATCTAGACTAAAAACTTGAAACAATTTGGTATTTAAAAAATTTTAAATATTAAAGTTAAAAAATCTTTGACTTCCTGTAAGAGTCATATGTGAATAGTCATTTTCAGAGTGTGGACGTGGAACTGTTTGTTTCTCTTGGAAATAGCTATTCCATCTGCACTTAGATAGAATAAATGACTTTTAAATACAGGCCTTCCTCTAATGACCAAGTTCTGGTCCTGTGTCTAGGTTAACTGAACTAGATGCTAAATGAGGTGTACACAGGATGTACATTATAATATTCAAAACAAAGAAATGGTCAAAGGAGTTCCAACTCAATGGCTTTGCTCTTATTTGTGTGACTCTTACTGCAGCACTGTGATGTATAAAAACACAGAAAGCTACAGTACTGTACTGTACAGTACTGCACTTTACAGTACAACCAGCACAACTCACAGTACTTACTGTAGAAGAAGCCACCACACTACCGCACTACCCTTCACACTGCTGCATCATAAGTCCCAATGCAGGCTCTAAATCCAAGTGGCAGGACTTTAGAACAGCATGCATCAGCGGTAGGTCTGAGCAGTCACTAAAAGGGTGGGTCGTCAAAAAAGGAATCTGTATTTTGAGGTGTTATAAATATTTGCCCTCCATGCAAGTTTTCATAATATTTAATTTCCTAATATTTATATCAGTTGATTTAATTTCTTCTTTAAACCCTTCTCCTACTGGGATATGTGAAATCTCATTTTAGAAAAAGACTTTCCTCACTCTAATTTCTTTGGGCCTCCTCTCTGTGGGAAGGCAGGTATAGCCCTAATATGTGATAAGCTTTTTCTCACATATTTGACGAAGTTAACACAGATCATCATTACAGTCCACATCAGTGCAAACACATTTCCCATAATTTTAAAAAATAGCAACAATGAAGCCTGGATTTTTAGAAAGATATTTTGGCTTTTTCTTGTTACAAACTAGAGAGTGTTTTCCTGAAGAAAAATTCTCATTCGATCCTGAATCAAGTCTTGTCTTAATGACGGGCGGGTATGATTGACATCTGACCATTTCCGGCCTGTTTATTGCAGATTGATCATTTTATGTCCCAAAGTGGCCTCCTCTTCCCCTGGGAGAAAAACAGAGTGCACCATCCTTGGTGAGGTGATATTTCTTTCCCAAACTGAGCTAAATCTGCAAACATCATGGAGTAGTATCTCTCCAGAATGTAGTACATTGGGAAGCAGCTATTTCATTATTGTAGCAAAACTCTCATCATTTTTTCTTTGTTTAATTTGCTGGAAATCAGAGCAGCTGAAATTATTTTTTAAACACATGTTATTCTGTAGTCAACACATTTGTTACTTTGGGAAAGAGCCTTCTTCCACTTTAAATAATTAAAAGCACGCTGTAGCTACTCAAAATGGACCTGTTATTGCATAAGGCATAATTCCTTGATATGTTTTCCTGGCAAACATGGAAGTATAGCCAGGATTGGAGAACAGATACACAGTAGGGGCCCAAGAAATCACAAAAGGTTGGCAAACACTTAAAATACTTGAAGAATACAACCAGAATGTGGTTTATGATTTGGCATAAAAAGGCCAAAATATTCTGACAAACATCTTTCTCTACTGAGAGTTGTGCTTTGTCCTACACATCTTGTGTCATGTGATATGAGCCCAAATGAGAATGAATACTTCCTTTGGAACCTCGAGAGTCTTCGTTCAATGTGAATAGCCGAATCATCCTCAGACAATTCAATTAATAAGTGGGTATTTGGCATGCTGCTCAGAGTAACTGTTGGAACGGCCATTGAAAATATAATTGGCTAAGCTATACGATACAATGAAATGGAACCAATCTTGAAATGTTAGGATAGTGAAAACAATCCATTAAATTGTGTTATGCTAGTCCTTAGGACTGAGATTTTGTTGATTTTATTACTAGAACCCAGATCAGATTCTGTACAATATTAAAATGTAGAGCAGAAAACACTGCTAAAACTTTTGGTGAAGAATAGCTCTCTGCTCTTCCACATTTGCACAGAGAACCAGAGCCGTTTTCTGAGCATAGACCGCGAATCCTAGACATTCATGCCACAGTATGCAATTCAGACAATGGCCACACTGAGGTTGAGAGGCTCTAGCACATCTGAAGCCAGTCTAATTCACTTTAAAACAAAACTAAAATGTGGACAAATGAAATACCTGCCTGTAGTTCAAGTGTTTGCAGTCTTTTAGCACCATGGGTATCTCTGTGTCTATGAAAATCACCTGGCCTCAAGTGGCTCTGGATAAATATCTGGTGTAGAGAGTTGGCTCATCTCTGGTGAAATATAGGACACTTGGCCACTATTAGAGCCTTCCTGGAACAGCTTACCTTCCAGGGAGCGTGAGTTAAATGCCTTTACCCAAATAGAATTGATTTTTTAAAATCTTTAAAATGACTTTAAAGCACAATGACATTCTGAAGTCTATTATTTTGCTAAGTAGGGTAAAGTTTCAATAATGTCTGTTGCTCTTCTTAAGCCTTGCCTCATCTTTTGTGTCTTTTAGATTAAAAGCTTATTCCTCCATTAACCAGCCCAAGTGTGGCATCTGTTTCCTGCCAGGGTCCACCCAATACACCTACAGGACAAAGACGAGAACTTGGCTGGGAGCACGCGTTACCCTGCGTCACCTGCGCCATCTGAGCAATCTGATACATCACTTACGAGGAGCGGTGTTCGAAGGGACCAAACACATCATCCAAAAGGAAGACTACTTTAAAAGAGGCCAGTGATTCTCTGAAGCTTTCAGGTAAATTCAGTAGATTGCAAGTTAGTGTGATTGCTGAAAAGTTCTTGGTCAAATCGGAAGTGAGCTCTTCAAATGCTTCCTCATTTTTATTATCTAATACATCAAGGGGCAAAGAATGCACAGAAAAGTACAGTGGGAGTGCAGATAAATGTGAAGAAAATATGGGGGGAAAAACGACACTGAATGAGTTAGGAATTGTTCATAGCTTTCTGCCTTATCATACTTTTGCTAAAGAAAAATCAGAGCCTTAAAAATAAAATTTTGAAGATTTTGTATATGAAATCCATTTAGTTCTGTCCCTATTCACTAACTGAGGTACATAAAAATAATCAAGCTGTAGATTTTTTTGTAAAACATTGAGATTGTATGTATTATGGAAATTCTCAAAAAGAAGGTTCCTGAATCAGCTGGCATGAACCTCCACAAGCAGGTTAAAATTCTTATGAATGGCAGGAAGGTTGCTCATTGGTATGCGAATTGGATGCTCTTGAAGTGACTTCATCTTGCACGGTAAAGTGCTTCAGGTTGGGATCATGTTTTCCTGGCTTAGTGTTTCCATTCGGCTAGCTCTGCACTTCTGTTTTTCATCTGAGCAAGCTCCCTTTAATCAGAGAAGTGTGAATAACTAAGCACTGCATCCGATCAGCCCTCCAGTGAACAGAAGTGTTTTCTCCATCACGACTTCTGAGACAGCAGAGGAGTAAACGGACGCACGCACAGCAGTGACTTCAGTTTCGCTAAGCTTGAGTTCAGAAAATAACTCCTCATACAAATATGCAGCATGGAAGGCTGAGACGTTCTCAAGAAGATGAAAATATCCCACCGAAACAAACAGTTGGACTCTTTGATGGCTCGAAAATGTGGTTTTTATTACAAACAAATTAGCCTTGCGGGGAGAATTCTCACATGGATATGAACTCTGATTGCTTAATATTCCCGTAAGCACAAAATAAGTAAAATAAGCTGTGTAAATGAAGACTACGGATGCTGAAATCTACTAATGAGTACATTTCACGTAGATATCTTTGTGCATTTAAAAAATGTGTGTGCCTCGGATTACTCAGACTGCGGTGTGGTAAGTCACCAAGAGCCCTTTTCCTTCCAGTTAGGTCTGAGCGCAAATATTTCTTTCTCGCAGTGAAATTCTATTTCCATGAAAGTGTGGAGAATCGTGCTTGCAGGTCTCTGGAAACTGGACATTTATGTTTCTACGAACACTCGTATGGGCTTCTGGAGTCTGAAGGGTGGGGGACGGGAGCCTCGAGGGTGTTAGCTGCTTTCTTCAGTGCTCACTGTCCAAGCTGCCCCCTAACGGTCTGAGCCGCCACCATATTTGACCTCAAGTTTAGGTTCTAAACGCAGAAAAGTAAAGCGCTCTCTCTGATCATGTGTGCTCCTCCATTTCGCGTCTCGCACAGGCCCCTTCTCCATCTCTGCCCAGGTGGAAGTGCCTCCCTTGGTGACTGAGGCCCCGCCTCCTGCCTCCCGGATGGATTCCCTCCCCCTGTCCTCCGTCTGACCTCCTCCTGCTCTTCCTGAGCTCAGCCCTGCTGCACCAGTCCCTACATTGCGATCCCGTAGGCACAGGCCCTCAGCCTGTCTTCCACACGGTACTCTTCCAACTGCCTGCAGGAGTAACTGCTCCTCACCTCCAATCTGCCTAACTGCTCGTCCCAATAAAGACGAGTAATCTGGTACCTTTCCTCGCCCTGCCCGCCTGCTCGGTTCACCCTCTCCTACTTTATTCTGCGTCCAAACTCGCCTCACACCTGACACACTGCATTATGTATGAGCTGATCGTGGCCGTTCTTCTTCCTCATCTCTCTGCAACTGAGGCAAATGTCTTTGACTGTTGGTCATTGCATGGCATCAGTGCCTAGACCAGCGGGCAACCTACAGTAAGTGATAAATATTTAACACACTTTAAGAACCTCTTACGAAAACAAAGACATCTTAAAGATGGTAGAGAGTCCCTACACCAACGTATCTAAAATTCATTTTCAAAACTTACAAAGTGAAATATCTCAAATACATGAATTCTGCTGAGAAAGAAAGAGGAGTCCTAAAGCCTGAGCCACAAGGCTTTAAATGTACGTGTTGCTATCCAGAGCCGTGCTCTGCAAACTACGGCTTGGGCCACATATGGCCAGCCTCCTTTCCCCCGCAATTAGGCTTTGATTGGCACAAGGTCACAAACATTTGCTTGTCCTCTAAGTCTGCTTTTTCTCTGCAGTAGAGCCGTTGAGGCGTTGGAGTTGAAATCTAGGGGCAGGCGAAGCCCAAGGCATTATCTGGCCTGCTAGACACTTTGTCAACCAACCTTTGACTTAAGTTCAACTTACTGGCATTTGGCAAATAAACTGATTCCCAAATGTCACCAATTATCCAAATAAATGCTTTCCACTGTATGTTAGGACAGTAGCTGGGCTCTGAAGAAAGCCCGTGTCACCTTGGGCGCCCCGATCTCTCTCCTGAGGTCTGAGTTATAGAGTTAAGTGTGAGGTTTTCTCTATTAACTCATGGGCTTTAGCTGAAATGGAAATATGTAGAATTCTAAACTAAATGATCTCTCTGGAAGGCTCATCCTACCTTGTATTGTTATTCATAATTCTCCATATCCCAAATTATTTGGCATTTTATTTCTATTTCATGATACGTTAGAATTTTTGGTATCTATATCCTTGTGTCCTTTTTCTATTTAAAAACAGTTCCCTTGATGTACCCTGAAAGGTACTGTCAGACATTATTGTACTACATTTATTCTTCAATAATTTTCTTGAAGGAAGGTATAATTTTCTTTAACATCTAATTCTAGATGTACAATTAGTGTACCTTATTTAGTAACATCATTGTTAACCTAATACCTGCATTATAATTAGTGATAGAGAAAGGTAACTTCAGATGACAGACTTATCATAGGCTTAGCAAAACATGGAATACCAGTGCTTTTAAGGGAATGCATTTAGGTGCTATTTTAAATAACATTTGATTGGATATATTCAAAGGCCTCTTCTTAACAGAAGCTAAAGTCAACCACATGCAAGTATCTGTATAGTTCAAGTGAAAAACTATCTTTCCTTAATTCTATAGACTTTTTTTAGTTTATCTTATATACTTGTAGTGTGTGAATGTGTGTGAGTCTATAAATATGTGCGCAGAAACAGATGATGATGATAGAGAGAGAGAGAGACAGGATAAATAGATGATGGTAGATATAGATAGAGAGTGATTGATAGATACATAGATACATATGATGATAGATAGACAGACAGATAGACAGATAGACAGACAGATGAGAGAGAGGGAGAGGAACTGGGAGATTTGTCTCAAGGCTGGCATATACGATATATTCATTTAATGTAGCATTATTCTTTCCTATGCATTCTTTGCTTTCTCACCAATAGATATAAGAAAATAGCCAAAGCATGACTTTAAAGTTTTCCCATTAGGTCTGGGTTATACAGCTAAGCTTTTTATGACTGTCTAATCAGACGACTGACCACTTACTTGGAACTCCATAAATGCAGGCTTAAAGGCAGTATATTTTGGGCACAATTCAGCCTGAGAAGATTGCCTGCCTGAAAAGATAAGCCTGCCTCATTGCCTTAAATGCCATTCTCCATTCCATTAGATTATTAAAGATTGTGCATATCAGATCCACAGTGATATTTACTCCATACCTAGCAATGTCAGGTGCTTTCATAAATGTGTTAGTGGAATTCAAATGGGATAACACATTTACTAAATAGTCATTAAATACGTGAACAATGTAAACACACTATTACAACCCCCTTTGAGGAGGAACATGAAGTCAAAATGGTTTAATAGAGGATGAGTTCCTTGGGAACAAATATGGCTTGTTACAAAGTATACCTCCAACCATTATCCCAACTCATGGTACATGACAACTAGCAAATGTTTATTGCTTCAGTGGGTGTCAACTGAATACGTATACTCAGTAAAAGGTAGAACCTAGGTTTGAAAGACATTGTCTGATATCAAGACTAATAATTTTTTTCTTGCACAAAGGGTTGAATTCTTGCAAAGAACAAAGGAAAAGATAACTGCAGATATACTTTATATATAGGACTTTCCACCTAAAATGTTTCTCAGATAAATCATGCTGTCTAGGTATTGACAACAATACAGCTTTTGGTGGGTTATAATAAAACAGATCTTATAAATGTCTCAGATGAGTGCTTGACTTAGGTCAGTGACATCTGTAGAAAAGCCACGTGCCAGAGATAAGGAAGATTCTAGAAACAGTGTGGGAAACTTGGGAGTTGATGGTTCATCTGTCCAGAAAACATTCATCAGATTGCTGGAGACAGCATGTGGGGATCTTCCTCCTGTACATCTTGGTAATTTCTGGACTCCACATGAGAGGATCCTACTGGTTTAAAAAGAGGGCACAGCCCAAGCCTGGAGGACAACGCTGGGGAGGATCAAGGTCACAGGACTTCGAGTACTGCAGCTCTGTACTGCACTGCCTTGGAAAGCCCTCATAGAGTAGCAGACCCTGGAAGAACAGCTGTGATGCCTTCAGAAGCCTTGTCAAGCAGCTCAGGGTTTCACAACATCAGCAGAATCCAGCACCCCAGTCCGGCACGAGCAACACTGATGTCCTGCATCTAAGCAGAAGGAGGACATGTGTCAGTTTTCCAGGCCTGGTTTCTTTTGTGTTCTTCTGACCTACTTCATAGTTGCAACCTCCTTCACGGCTAAGAGGGTCCAAGCTTGGATGATAAATACGTAGTTAGCCTTGAAGCTTCTAGGAGAGCAAAATGTGATATGCAGTGATGATTCTGGTAGTGACCAAACAAGTAAGAAAAAGGTTCTTCAGCCAAACCCTGAGAACATACAGGTACCTTGACTGTGACCCGTGACCCTTCTCAGAGGCTGGATTGGGTCTTGTCTTTGAACTTCTGGGTCTTCTAAATCATTCCCTTCCCAGGCTGCAGTGTAGGTCATGTTTCAGTTTCCTCTGCAGTATCATGGAT